AGAGTCATGCTCTGAGAGTCATGCTCTGAGATACTTATTTACTCATACCACATATGGTAAAATTATTCATCTTATGTACAGGTCCTTGTAACATTTTGAAGAATGACTTATAGTATATATGTTGATCCAACAGACTTAGATGCTACCAATGTAACACCTTCAATTACAACTTTTGGATATCTCTTATTCATGCTTCCTTTCTGGTGACAGGTGTCAACATCAATCCATTGGGCCAAGGCAGAGACTAGCCAGGGTGTTCCTCTATGGATCATCATCTTAGCCATCCTGATTGGGCTGCTGCTGTTAGCACTGCTCATCTATGTGCTGTACAAGGTGAGTTCATGGAACAACCTAATAATTGTGGAATTCAGGGTTGGAGAGAAAACCGTTTAAGCTCAAGTACTGGGTATGTCTTGATTTGTAAGGACTGCAGATGTAAGAAATTATGAGTAGGTAGGGAGATTCTGAAATGTCAGAAGCCAGTTAAAAGCTGTGGGGTATAGAATGTTAAGAGGTGTCAATGGGGGAGTGTTTTCAGCACCCTGGACAGCGCCTGAATCTTCTGCAATACCTGTGATTTTCTAGCCCTGCCCTGGTGAATTGACTCTGACTCATTTCCCTGTTATTCGACAAGTGTACAGTTTGGCCTGCAACTGAGAATTGCAACCCCAAAGCACACACAATTACCTTTTTAGCATTCTGAACCTCCATGAATCAGCCTGTACACAGTCATAAAAGTGGCTTGAATCAACATTTAGTGTTTTTAAGAGACACAGTTTCCAGTATTCAGCTGAAACTCTGCAGGTGGGACGTGTTGCACATAAACATGTAATTGAGCCAAGAGTTTTTCATTGTTATGGCTCCAGTCCTCATGAGTTTAGAGAACTACAAACTTAATTTTATAGCATTAATTAAGTTAAGACCCAGTTTGATATCATAATTTCAAGGCATCAGGCTAGAAGCACGAACCCTGCGAATTCTAGTCTTGCCTTGGACAGAAGGACAGCTAGGCGACCTTGGGTCAGTCAATCCTCTCTTAGCCCTAGCAAGAGGATAGTGATAATAAACTCCTTCCACAAATGTTGCTTTAAAAAAATGCAGGGGCTTGTCCAGGTGGCCAAGAACGATTCAAAGGCACTTAGAAATGACAGCAATAAGTTAATGTCAGGAGATACTCAAAGAGAGATGGAAAGAGAAAACACTCACTTGTTTTTAAATAAAAATCTAGAGGTATTTCTATACTACTTTGATTACAGTGATGTTAAGAAGGAATCATAAATGTGCTTCCACAAGACCACTCAACCGCAATGGAATTTACCCTGAAAAAGAATTCGGTGGGTGATGTCCTGTAT